GTGGCACATAAAAACCGCTAGAACGCGTCAAGATTCGTGCAGAATTGATTGGACGAGGATCCTTGCGTGTGGGCGAGTTGCCAGACGCCCACACGTGTGAGCGTTAGTGTTTTCAATTATACATACATAAGACGTGCATGAGTTTTTGTAACACCGTCGAGAAAACTGAAAATAAAAAAAGGAGAAACAAAGGGTACGACAAGAGCCCTTGGCTATAAAAGTTTTTTGTGCGCGTGTTCGTTGTACTGTGATGTGATCGATCCTGTGGGCGAGTTCCAACAGCAATGCCGGCAATTCATGAAAGGGGAGCCTATCCAGACACCTAATAGAGATGCAGTTTAAATCAAGGTCCTTTCTACAAATTTTACTAGAGCTTATGCCTAAACACCCTATCAGAAACCATGATCACATGTGGAAGAATCTGAGTAATGATGATCTCAAGATCAATATTGACGCAACCTTCCAGGATGAAACTCTTTCGGGCGCAATGGGAGCTGCAGTCCGTGGTGGACGCGGGAATTTCATTTCAGCGGCGATATAGTTCCTACCTCACGTTGGCAGTGTTGATTCTGCTGACATGACTACAATTAGAAACGGACTGTTCCTCACAGCAAAGATTTGTTGCAACAATTTGCTTATTGAATCAGACTGTAACTTTGTGGTGGAGGCAGCAACCTGGTGCTTATGTGGGTTTAGATGTTGCTATAGTTCTCGTCTGCAAGTAGCTTGCAATGGATTTCATGAAAGTCTCATATATGCACTACTTCTGTGAAGCAAATGAGGTGACGAATGATTTAGCTAAGAGTTAATTTCGTGATAAATCTTGTAACTTTTGGGACTCTATGATCCCTGACTTTATTACTCATTATCTTGCAAATGATATGGCTATTATCTGAGGAATTAAGGCTGCTTGCTGTAAAAAAAACTGGTGGAACCAAAAGCGAGCGGATTCTGAAACTGATAATGCAGCTTTTCCATCATCTATATTTCTTTATTGACGATCTGGCTAAACAGTGACAGTCAGTACAAGCTTACTTGCATCGGGCAATTGTTCAACTCAGGAAAACAAGGTACATGCCGCCATTCCTTTTTGTTTATGGCAGCATGGTGCCACAGCTGCGACATTGCTCACAGACGCAAGGAATAGATAATAGTGTGTTTGCTCAAACCAGCTTGCTGGAAAGCATCGTGTTCGGTCGCCATTGTTTGCTTGCATATGCCCCCTTCCTTTCACAAGCATGGATCATGTACCGGTTCTGCGTACTGAAGGGCAAATTCAGCTTGTTTTGTGTGGTTTCCTTGGTCTATAGAGACAGAGTGAAATGGTGTTGCATAGAACTATATATAGGTAGGGAAGACTTCGACCAGAAAGTGCATTTGGTGGCCGAGCTTTATAGAGCCCTTTATTTATTTCTTGTATGGAAAATACATTTTCAAAACTTCAAAAAATTCTGAAACAAAAGAGTACACACAAGCATATACTCCACCCCCCCCCCCATTTCAGTGGATAAGGTGTGCACACATCCCAAAATTCAAATTTGACCATAAATTAATTATTTCATAAAAATATTCATATATAATCAATTTAGTAATAAATAAATGACAGCAGATGCACAGAGCTCCCGCTTGCGCTAGGTCTGAAGAAGAGTCTGATCACTTTGAGTCTTTTGTATGCAGTCTTTCCCTACATGTCTAATCAATTAAGTAATAAATAACTAAAAAATATTGTGTGTTGAAAAGACTCACGCATATAAAATAGATAAATTATTCTTACATTTCTACAAAAATTGTTCATGTATTTTTTTGTAAGTGTTCAAAAACCCCTCAAAATGTTAATGTATCTTTAAAAATTTAATTTGACTGTCAACAAGTACGATATGCATGCCACAAAAGCATATAGTTGAATTCATATTAGAAAGGTATTTCTAATGCTATAATTTTTTCGCAAGCATCTTAAACAATTATGACTTTCACAAGCAATCAATCAGAAGAAAGGTGTGGTACAATCAACCAGAATTTGCACACTCTTGTAGAATCATCTAGAAGTGCACCTCGTAATTAAGCTCTCTTTGGTCCGTAAATGAAATGAGAAAGCTAGTACAAAAGCGTTAAAGTGGGAAGAGCTCCAGCTAGCGTCCTTCCTCATTGTCATTTGAGTCCTCCGTCCACATCCTTAAAAGAAGAATATTCCCAAGATCTAGACATTATGCTCACGCATGCTGTACATCCGTACTCGTCGTCTAGCTTGCGAGGCGGGATCAAAGTAGCCTGGTGTGTAGTACATCCGGCGTTAATCCCAAACCGCCTTCCGGCTCCGAGAAACGACGATCGACAGGGTGCCTTAAATTAGAAGGCCAAAATGTGTCGTTAACCCCAAGTCCCCAGCCGATGATCCACTGGCGGTGCAGGCAGCTATGTATATACAGCTATATATAGCGCACGTCGTCCTGCGGAGGTGGCTACCACTACCGCTACCATGGCATTCTCCAAGATCGTCCTGCCGTCCGTCATCCTGGCTCTCCGGCTGGTGGCCATGCTCCTCCTGGCCGGGTCGCTCGCCCTCATCGTCACCGACAAAGTCGACGTCCGCAGCGATCTCTTTGAGGGCGGCCGCTTCGTCTTAAAGTTCAAGGACATCTACACCTACAGGTGAATGAGCGATCGAGCCACCGTGAGCATGCATGCGTATGTGTATGCCCTACAGTAGTATATGCTGTGTTTAGCATACTCAACGATTGCTTAAATAGCCGGCCATGGCTCTACTATATCCTTGCTATAGTTTTTTAAATAGGGTGCCGCTAAATGATACTCATGTACATAGTCCTCTAACAGTCGGCTATAGTCTCCTAGCCCCGCTATATCTGATTTGAAGGATCGCCGCTATTTGACATAGCCCGCTATTTAAAACACAAGCCGTTTCATCTTTTTTTAAAGAAATATAAAAATGAATAATTTTATATCATACTTGTAGTGTATGACAAACAAGAAACAGCACTTTTGTCTATTACAGGTATGTCGTGGCTATCGCTGCCATAGGATGTGCGTACAGCCTCTTGCAGGCACCGCTCGCGGCCGTCGCCATTGCTAAGAGGAAGAGAGTGATCGGAGGGACGACGAATGTGGCGCTGTTTCTCATATGCGCCGACGTGGTAATTAAAGGATCGGCGTATATATTAGTTGTACTAAAGGAGCGTCAATCAATTTGGATCAATGTGAGTAGTATATGTTAAGTTGATCCATGAATTTCCTCGCAGATTTTTATTATAGCTTTTGCGACGGCGGCGGGGGCAAGCTACTGGTTCAGCACCGACGCGGATCGCTACATCGACGAGTTGTATCCGGACAGCTTGACGAAGGCTAACCCGGACTTCAAATGGCTCCGCCGAGACTTGGACATGTTCTTCGTGCGTGCCTCCGCGGCCGCGTTGCTCATGTTGCTCGCTGCCAAATGCACGGCGGCTGTCTTGGTGATCTCCGTCTATGCTCTCGTCAAGTGACCATGCATGCAGTTCCTTCGTCACTTTAAATTAACTAGGGAAACCACCCATGCATTTGCACTGCTACATTTGTAACATAATGTCTACAAATCTCACTATTAGTCTGTCATAAGACATTTGGTCAAATTACAATTTTTCCGGGTATGAATGCTCATGTTGACTATTTAACATCGTGAGAAAGATGTTGCCCAAATTTGTTTGCATTGTAATTTGGTATCATCATCTTTGGAAAATCTCTTATAGATGCATTGCTTAAAGGAATATTTCATTTTTAACACTTTAAGTTTGCAAGGTTGAAACAAAAATTGGACTCAAATTTGTTTTATTAGGACCCTAGTAACTGATACTCCCTTTGATACTAAACCTGCGACATTATTTTGGATCAGAGGGAGCGAGTAGAAATTTTAGCATTGTATGCGGGACAAACTGCAGTGGTTATCGGGACAATCGACCTTGGGGAGTTCCTTACGGCCTTGCAATCATAATCCAATATCTCCTGGCAATTTCTTAACCTAAGACTAGAATCGCGCTCTGTGAGTCGATGTGCCTAATTTGTTGGTCTCCGAGAACCAACCTTCCATATAAGGTCATCGTAAACACCACCAACTACTCCCTCTGTTCCAAAATTACTGTCTTAGATTTGTCTATATACTGATGTATTTAGTCACGTTTTAATGTTAGATACATTTGTATCTAAACAAATTTAAGACAAAAATTTGGGATGGAGATAATATATTTTTTCTTGCCCCGTACTCTCATCTATGTATCACTGATACCTGCTCTCTAGATAGCGGGACGACGATAGGGTTGGCCACATGATGAATGTGATCGTTGCCATCACACATCGCCTTGCTTCGCTAGAGAGCATTTGAGCTACTGGCCATTTGGTGGTCTTTTTTCCTCTCTCTATTTTCGGTACGAGACTTGAACTTGTTGTATGGACATGTTGGTTGCTTTATTCATAAAGTGGGGAGAAACTCTATTTCAAGATGTTTATATCACAAAACTAATCTTGATCGTTAGCTAGTTCCTGAAGGCATGGGGTTTGTGAAGTGTGGTGCGAAGCCCCAAAGTTCTCATGGGGTAGTTCATCCTCGCCCTGCTTCAGCTCCAACATTAGCATCCTACTCTAGCCCCGGCGCTCCAAGCAGAAGTTGAACGCAATGTGTCGAGGTCTATGACACTACTACCTTAGCCCGGGTACGGCCAGAGTGTCCTATCCTGATCCGCTCACACCGCTCTAACCTATGCAATCGTCACCGAGATTCGTGGAGTCGGTTTTGTTTCATTAACGGACTGAGTGGTTAGTGGGGGCTGTTTATTTAATTATTTATTTTGAAAAGGGGCTCCATGAACCGACTAAAATTGAAGATTGTACTGATGATAGTTTTAATTAAATATAACCTATATTTAGTAGGTCGAACCAATAATCAAACCGGAGCCTCGAAGCACATGCACCCTAGAAACTACCGCCGTATGCGATGATGCAAAAGCTTTCAAGTGATCGCTCCCTCGTTCACAGATTGCACATATCCGGCAAAAGCTACTACAAATTTAATGAAACAAAGCAAACGAAACACATGAAAACAAACAATCTTGGTGGAACGAAAAGCGAGCGGTTTGTGGATCTTAATTGACCGTGCAGCTGGTAATGACCACAACCAGCACCGACCTACCTAGATCAGGTAACCATTCAAACGCAGGGAAAAGGTGCATGCCACCTTTCCTTTTTGTTTGTGGCAACAAGGTGCCACAGCTGTGACATGCATTGCTCACACTTGCAAGCAACTGTGTTTGATCAAGCAACTGTGCTTGGTGGAAAGCAACATGGTGGTTCCAAGACACATCGTTTGCACAAAGCATATGCCCCCTTCCACAAGCATGGACCATGTGCCGGTTCTGCATGCGTACTCTTTTTCTTCTTGACTGGTCGATCTCAAGGGCAAATTCAACGTGCGTTTGTTGTGCTATCATGGCCTGCTTTGTCTAGAGAGTGAAATGATGTTGTGTACGTAGTGACTAGATTCCTAGCTAAGGCCAATGTTGTCTCCAATGTGGAAGACTTGGGCCATACTTGCGCCTAATCTACACAAAAGTTGGCAATGGTAACCATGCGAAGTTGCGAACGACGGTGCAGACAACACACATGGGCAGCATGTGTAGCTGTAGCTTGGCCAATGACGCGTAACAGTGCTTGCACCACATATAGCTTCGTTCAGAAGGCAATAGGTCCCCTAGACCGGTCAAAACAATGTAGAGTTCCTGTAGCAAAACAAAATAGTCTTATGGCAGCATTGTTCTTACTGTCATGTTTATGTGCCGTTTTAAGTGCATCAATGAATACAGAGACAGGGGTATCCCTCTTTCAAAAAATACCGTTCCAATGGCCTCAAGGAGATGTACAACCCTCTGAGTACAGTAGTGAGTTCTAAACATGTATAGCCGACAAGTTCAGTGTCAGAAATATTTTAGCTACAGCTAAAATCATTATTGAATTTCACTGAAATAATTTAAATTTGATTTTGATTGAGGCATAACCAGATATTTTGGAAATTCAAAATGTAATTTACACTTTTGTGTACCACAAAAATTACTGAAATATCCCCGCAGAAAAACAATTGCCGAAATATTTTAACTGAAAAACAATTATTAAGAATGTACGGAAATAAATGAAATTTCCCGATTTTCGATCAAATTCGCCCGAAAGTGAAAACCATATGCCACCTAATTAAGCGCGTTCCTCCTCAACCAAGAGATCTGGCTCTGGCAGCAACCTTTTGCCTCTCCTATCCTAGTCGTAGTCGGTCACTCCCGTGCTGCAATGCAAGACGAGAGAGAAGCAAGCATGCGCATCCACCTCTACAATTTTTGCACACACGTCGGCCGCTCCTTGCGTTGGGTTGCTTCCTCCGGTCGCCATTGCCGCCCCCACCACCCTACATAGCTTCCTCATGCGTACAAGTCATCGACCGTGCCACATTCCACGACTATAAGTTTATCAATCGTGAGCGCGCAATTCTTTCAGAGCATCACGGTCACAGTACGCTCCAAGCTCTGTTTCTTCTCTTCTTGATTTCTGGGTTCGCCGGCCAGCCATGGGGAACCGTCACGGCATAATGAGGCCCCGGCGGCTAAAGAGCGCGCGGGCGACGGGGGAGGAGGGGCATGAGCTGGGGTCGTACGAGGCGGCGTGCAGCGCGGACCCGGAGCTGCGGAGCTTCGACGCGGCGCTGCGGCGGCGCGCGAGCCTCGCCGTGTCGGCGGCGGCGTCCGGGGTGGAGGTGCGGTCCATGTCCCTGGGCTCCCTCCGCGAGGTCACCGGCTGCCTGGTGGAGATGAACCAGGAGGTGGTCCGCGTCGTCCTCGCCAGCAAGCACGACGTGTGGGGGTGCCCCGAGCTGTTCGCGCTCGTGGAGGACTACTTCGACGCCAGCCTCCACACCCTCGACTTCCTCGCCGTGCTCGACAAGGCCCTCCGCCGCGCCCGCGACTCGCAGCTCGTCCTGCACCTCGCGCTCCAGGTCCAGGACCCGGCCGTCGGGCACGCGCGCGCGCTCGGCGCGCTGCGGCGGTTCAAGGAGGCGGCCGGCGAGCCGTTCACGGACGAGTTCTTCGCCGCGTTCCAGGCGGCGTACCGGCAGCAGCTGGGCATGCTGGACAGGCTGCGGCGGCAGAAGCGGAGGCTGGACGGTCGCCTCCGGTCGCTCCGCGTATGGCGCCGCGTGGCCGGCGTCGTCTTCGCGACCACCTTCGCGGCGATCCTCGTCTGCTCCGTGGTGGCCGCGGCCATCGCCGCTCCGCCCGTCGCGGCCGCGCTGGCGGCCGCGGCGTCGCTGCCCGTGGGCTCCGCCGGGAAGTGGGTGGACGCGATGATGAAGCGGTACCGGGACGCGCTCCGGGGGCACAAGGATGTGGTGAGCGCAATGCAGGTCGGCACGTTCGTGGCCATCGAGGACCTGGACAGCATACGCGCGCTCGTTGGCCGGCTCGAGGTCCAGATCGGCTCCATGGTGGGCTGCGCAGAGCTGGCGGAGCGCGACGAGGGTGCCCTGAGGTTGGCGGTGGAGGAGGTGAAGAGGAAGCTGGAGGCGTTCATGAAGAGCGTGGATGACCTCGGCCAGCAGGCGGACAAATGTAGCCGGGACATCCGGCAAGCCAGGACCGTCGTGCTGCAGAGGATCATTCATCACCATTAATAACTGCTCAAACATACGGAGTAGCCTAGTGCTCAGAGATCACATATGTGATTCGTCATTCATTTCATTAACATTATAATTTAAGCCTCGTTTTTTTGAAAAGATCATCATGGCTAGTTTTATTAAAAATTAAACAACGCTTACATCGTCCTGTAAAAGTTCACGAATACAATCCTAAGGTGAGTCCAACAAAACATTCTTTTGCGCTAGCACATGAGCAACTAAGTTAGCATCACGACTACAATGCTCTAAGACGACCTTCCGAAATCAAACTGAAGTAACCGACAATCATCTAGAATTGACGCTGCTACCGTAGAATGTCCATCGTTCTGCTGCATTGCTTCAATCAACACCAAACAATCGGACTGACTGAGGTGCATCCTACAGACAGTGCAAGTTTCAACCCAACTGCTAGTGTTGCAGCTTCAGCCTCGTTTAGTACTACATGTTGTGGTTTCAAGCAACATAGAGATTAAAACAATATGCTCACCATGGATTCTGCTTGAGTGGTCGGATCACAAGGAGCTTCTTCGGCGACATGTACTTCATTATAGTGAGCGCCAGTAGCGGTGCCCGCACCAAAAAACTGTGGGTTCAAGTACACTAATCTCTCTAAAATGCCTTCATTTTTGCACAAATATTAATGGAACTAGCCTTGCAATAAAAAAAGCTGGGGGTCAGCTGACCCCACAGCTTACAAGTCTAATCGCCCTTGGCGAGCGCCGAGCAGCCAAGGACGTGTTTACCCTGGCATAGTTCGTAGTTTAGTCTTCGGATCAGTCGTCTAGTACCTTAGATGATTTC